TTCCCAATTAACGCAAACGCCGCGGGAGAGAAGTAGAACAAAAAGGAAAAAAAAAAGGTTGGGGGGGGGGGAAAAACGACGAACACCAACAATAAGAACAACAGCCATAGAAACAGCTGTGGGCACCCATCTACGCAAAAAAAAAAAGAAGAAGCAGCTAAAGCCACTCATTGCGTACAAATAGATGGATAGATGCGTTATATATATACATACATATGCTAGTCTGTATATATATATATGTGCACGTGCGCGTGCCACCCGCTTCCTCGCCTTCGCCCTCGCCCCTTCATTGGTCCCGGCGGCAGCAGCAGCGGGGAAGGCTTACATGCAACGCCAGCAACGACAAGAGAGCCAAAGAAACGTTTAAACACACACACACACACACAAACAAAAACAAAGAGGAGAACCACACCAACAACACGAAAAACAACAACAACGACACAAATTGTATTTACAGAAACACACAAACTTACAAATATATTTGTCTGTGCCCCAAATGCAGTAAAGCGAAACGGCAACAACAACAAAAAGGCACATCCCGCTTCATACATTTCTTGTGTTTGCTTCTGTAGTCTAACACCCCTCCCTCCCTCCCCAAGCCTGCTTCAGGTGGACACGCCGCGTCGATACATAACACCTCCTCGTCGGCGCTCCACGGCCACTTCTCTTCGTGGTTTTAGTTTTCAGTTCTTCTCCGTCAAAAAACAAAACAAAACAAAAAAAAAACAACACGGCCCAACGCCGTACGCCTCTCCTCCCGGCAATTCCCTGGCTGGGACGCGGCGGGGGAACAGCAACAGCAACAACAACAAAAGAGCGTGTGCCTACGCGGTCACGGTTGGCACACCAACACAAAGCCCTCCGCACACACGCACGCACGTATGCATCCACACATACACTAGAGAGAGGGAAAGCGGGAGAAGCGAAGATGAATGGGAGAACACAGTATTTATATAAATTTATGTAAAGGTGGATGTTTGTAGAGTACGTGAGAAAGAAGAGAGAGAGAGAGAGAAAAAGAGCTAACGACGCACGCACATATATACACGGGGGTTGCATCCTACCTCTCTTCTCTACCCTCCAGCTCTCGTAGGGCGAGCACAAACCCGATATTCGGGTTGATGTCTCGCTTTCGTCTTTTGAGAAAGGCAAAGGCTTCCCGGTAGCTTTTCACGACTCTCGGGGCGGCCTCACAACACTCGCAGTAGTCACCAACCATGCGGTTTTGACGGGCACGGCAGCAGCAGCACACACGACATCGGCGGCCCTCCTTCGCCGTTTCGTCATCGTTCGCGGGGAGGAAAGGCGAAGTCTCCGACAGAGGCGTGAAGGCGATCGTGGGGCTTTCCTCCATCTGCTGCTGCTGGCTGTAGCAGCCCTCGTCCACCACCAGGGTGTCGCCGTAGATCATGAGATAGGCAAGCACAACGGCCGCGCTGCGGCTTACACCCATGCGACAGTGCACAAGCACCCCACCAGGCACGCATGCGACGGAGGAAGCATCCGTGGCAGCCCCCACCTCGCCGTTTTCTCTCGTCTCTGGCGTTGCATTCTTTGCTTTCCACAGGGCGCACTCGCGGCGGTGCAGCTGCTTATGAATCATCTTCGTCAGAGGGCCAAAGTAGCTTGCGATGTTTTCATCGCTGTGGTCCCTCAGCGGAAACTTAACAAATCGGATGTTGTACTCGTTGTTCACCACAGAGTCCTCCAGCACGCACTCCTCGGCAACGCTCAGCACAAGCGAGATGCCGTGGGCGGCGAGCGCAGGAAGCTTCATGGCATCGCTGTGGGAGCCCAGGTAGAGCCCTGGAAGCACCATGGCTGCGTCAAACGAAGCTGCATGGTCCACGTCCTCACGCGCAAGCGGGGGTGGGGCGATCACCCCGTTCTGGTGCCCATTGCTGGAGGAAATCTGATCCGCGGTGCCCTCCTGCGGGGTTTGCAACGGTGCCGCGGTGCCACGCCTCTGTACGCCGCAAAGAAAATTGTATTGCTGGCACGACGGCACCGCACTACCCCCGCAACCTCCGCCGCCGTTGGACCTCATCGGGGTGGCGCTGGCTGGAACCTTTGACGTCCCAAGAGGTGCATCCGCGTCGCCGCCGGCAACGCCAGACACGCAGGGAGAGACACACGGCGTGTTCGTGGAAAGGCAACTTGCGGCTCTCACAAATGTGTGCTGGTTGTACGCCTGCAAGAGGCTTCTGCTGTAGCTGCTGCCAAAGCTGCTACTCGCGCTAAAATCAAAGTCACTGTTGTGCTGCTTGCAGGTGGGAATCGGCTCACCCGCAGCCGGACACCATGGCGAGGCAGGGACGCGAATGCGCAGCCCCGCGGAGAGCTCCGCCCAGCGATGATGCACGCGGCTGACATTCTCATCGTTATCAAACCACACCTCGTCGACCTGCAGTGGCTGTGGCCGTTGCTGTTGCTCTGCATCCTCATCATCCTCTTGTCGCTCTACTTCTGCCCCTGCTTGGTGCTGTGTCTCCGCTTGCGTCCTCGACTTTGCCTCATCCCCCGGCGGAGTTCGGCTCGCAGAAAACCCAGTCTGCAAGCGTGGGGCAAAGCTGTGAATAAAAAAGTCGCGTTCCTCCTCCTTCTCATGACAGGAGTGTGGTTCTGTGCGGCCGCTGCTGACAGAGATGGGCGTCGAAGCGCCGGTGCACGGGGGGCCGCTGAGGAGCGGTATCTCGTTCAGCGACGACGTTGTCGACCGCCCATGCTCCGACTGGCTCAGCGCCGGCGTGATCGTCGGGGTCTCATTCAGCGTGGCGGCTGTCGTGGGCGGCGTGATTGGGTGGGGCTGCACCCCCGGCGCCGCCACCTGCCTTTGCTCCCCGCGCTTGCGACGGCGGACGACGTCGAGGACGGCCTTCATTTGGCTGGTGCTGAGGCCAAAGGAAGGGATTCGCGCGCCAGCGACGCCGGCGCCGGCGAGTGAGACGTGTGTCGTGGTGCCAACAAAGAAGCCGCCCGCGCCGGCTGGCGCGCTGTCACCGCCGCCGCCACCTGCTGCAGTCCCCGCCTTAGCGGGGTTCCCTGCCTGCGACTGCGCCCCCGCAGCCTGCGACCGGTTTGAGTTTGTAGCCACCACCGTCATCGTGGCGGCCCCCGCCTCCTCAACCGCGTCCCTGCCGCCATTCTCCAGGCCGCGGGGTCGGGCTCGTTGCGGTTCCGGGCGCGGGGGCTGCCGTCGATTCTCCCCCGGCGGCACGACCGTCTCACCGCCGTCGCCGTCGGTGCCGTCACCGTCGCCGCTCATCGCTGGCGGTGTGTGGGCGTGGGTGGGGGAGGCCCAGGCACGCCTCGCCACGCGGAGTCAAGGGACAGCCACACACTTTCCGCACACACACACACACACACACGCCCTCGCGGACACGCAGCAGAGACTTGCCTCTATCCTCGCGGGTTCGCCTCGGCACGGTGGAGTTTAACCAAAGGCTCTTCTTCACGTTTGGCTGCCCCCAGCCGCGCGTGCAACGAGTCGTGTGAAGTAATAAATAGATAAATGAATGAATGGAACGGGGTACCCGTGTCTACCTGCTGCTTCGTGGGCCCATCCTACGCAAGGAAGTGTGGGCAAAGTCGCATACGCGCACAGGGCGGAGTGGCGGGGCGGGGGGGAAGAAAAGGAGGGCGCAAGCGAGTGCCGGCGGGCATCACGCACCGCACCTCGCAGGCGGCTGCGGAAGTGCGGGCGGGGAAGCAGCAAAAAACAACAACAACAACAACAACAACAAAAGAAGAAAACAAAAAGTAGAAGCAAAAACAAAATTCCTCCTTCGTTTAGTCGCCGTCCTTTTTCTCTTTTCTCTTTAAAAAAAATTTTTTTTCTTTTAAATTTTGTGTATGCGTAATATACATGCAGGCATGCAAAAAATGGGCGGAGAAACGTACGTACGTGTGTGTGTGTGTGTGTGTGTGTGTGTGCGGGTGCCCAGGCGGCGCGTACGCGTCGGGACGTGCGTGCATGCG